AGCTTGCTCCATCCTCAATATGACATCCTTTCAAATACTTAAACAAGGGCTATCATATCACTTCTTAACCATCTCTTCTTAAGGCTAAACATACCCAGCTCCCTAAATCCCTCCTCATAGGCCATGGTTTCCAGACCCTTCACCATTTTGGTCGCCCTGCTCTGGACCTATTCTTAGTGTCCTTTTTGAATTGTGGCCAGAACTGGACACAGTATTTCAAGTGAGGCCTGACCAAAGCAGACTGGAGTGGTACTCTTACCCCGTCGATCTAGAGTCGACACTATACTTCTATTGATGCAGCCTAGAACTGCATTTGCTTTTTTAGCTGCCACATCACCCTGTTGACTCATGTTCAAGTTCTGGTCTACTAGGACTCCTAGATTCCTTTCACATTTAAAATACATGTTTCACAATATTCATATAATAGGCAGAATTCAATTTTATTCATAAAAACATTAATTAAAAAAACCCAAAGAAACCCTGGTTTAAACAACAACAACAAAAAACTTCAGTCCTATCCCAATCCCAGTATGGATTCTTTAATTCTGCCTCTTGGAAGATGCCAGCCACAGTTGCTGGCGAAACGTCAGAAAGAAACTCTTCTAGAACATGGCCACACATCCCGAAAAACCCACAAAAAACTATGGATGCCGGCCATGAAAGCCTACGACTTCACATTGGATTCAAGATAGTTTGGGTCTTATAGATGTGATCAACTTATAATCAAGTATATAGTTCAGTGTATTTGAGCAAACTTTGTATTCAAAATTAACCTTATGCACATGTGAAATGGAACAACAAGCTCAGGAATCTTGTTTTCCTTTGCTTCAAGAGATTCATATGAGACCAGTTGAAAGTCTTTTCCAAAATCCATTTTTCTTACCATTTCCACTTTGGTGGCCAAACACATATGCTTTTTTAATATGTTCAGTTAATAATAATAATAATAATAATAATAATATAATTTATTTATATTTCCTGCCTCTCCCTGTGGATCGAGGCGGGAGCACAAAGATAAAAGAAATGAAAAATACAGCAAGGCTAAAGCATAACAATAAAACCACAGCATAATAAAAATGATAAAAACAGTAAAAAAAACAACAACAATGATAATTAATATAATTGAATTTTTAAATTACAATAAAAAATTACAAATTACAAATTCAAGTCTGGTATTTGGTATTTGTTTTCCCTT